CTCTCTCTCCCTTTCTGATGAATAAAACTCTACTCAAGGGAAGGAAGGGAAAATTCCACTTACAAAATATACTCAAATGAGACTAATCAAGATCTGAACCAACATTCAGGCAAAAGATCCATCCGCTAATCCACGTAGTTTAGAGTTCATACAACTTCAAATTACAATCCATTGCGCAAAGAGCAAGTACAGTAACAGACATGAAATACTGTTAACTTAATGCCACCTTAAAGTTCTGCTCACAGTTTTTTTGCTTCCTTTCCATATTTTTTACACAATATATTTCCAACTAACACATGCTTTCTTTCTGCTTTATTATCAGCTTAGCTTCCAAAATAATTTTTTCTAGCAACTGTTTTTCTTCCAAAATGTATTTCTCAAGAGATTTACTGTTTCATATTAAATTTGATTTATCCTTAGGCATGCATTCCAAGGCAAATTTATACAACTGGAATTACCAATTCAACTCCACAATCCTGCACAAAATGCTCCTGATTTCTTAGTAATCTGTTTATGCTCACATTCTTTCATCTATATTTTAGTCCTCACACCCGTTGTGTCGAATATTGCAGTAGAGTTGTTGATGCGCAATCTCCAACTGCAATTGTAATTCCCACGATAGGTTCCAGCTTCAGCATGAAAGTGCGTGACAGAGACATTTCTTGGCATAGTTTTCTTGAGAGAGTAAATGGATCCAAGTAAGCCACTTTGATCAATATGACTATATATTGTATTTTCTTCTATGATCTTAAACTATGTTAAATAAAGGGTACCAATATGTCCTTTGTTTATAGTTTCTTTAATTTCTATCGCATGAAGTCAAGTATGACTAAGATTGTTTCCTAATTGTTAAAATTATGACATGAAACATTTGAAAAAAAAGTTTAAAAGTTGAGCTCATAACTTGCCCAGCTTCAATCAGATTTAAATCTAACTGATGGTAATGTAACCAATAATATATCTGATAAATAAATTAGTTGCATCCTTCTGCCACCGTTTTTTTTCTTTGTTTATGCTATCAGTAGTTCCTAAAGCTCAGTCCGGTTAAGCATGACTAACATTCCTTACTAGTTGAAAATAACATTTGGAACATATGAGTTCATATACAACCATAGTCTCAACCAGAAGTTAAATCAAAGAAATTGCAATTGGACCATTAATGTATATGATAAAAGATTAGTCCAATCTCGCATCAATGTTTTTGTCGTGCATCTCATTTCTCAAATGACAACTTATGTCTAATTTTATTGGTTTGTCCACAAGTGATTCCAGTAACACAAGGAGGATTACTTTTAAAATTATATGTGCACAGCATGCTTTTCCTTTTTCTCATCACTACCAAAGAAGAGTATCATGTGCGAAGAATAACTGATAAATACATTTATTCTTGAAATCTGGAAATCTAAAAAGGCACTTCTAATTAACTTTTTAAACTCCACTGTATTCAGTGCCATAGTAGTGTGTGTGGATGTTTCAGGATCTTTTGTATGTTTTTGAATGTGCTTGTTTTAAGTTCTTATACTACCAAACTCTGATGTTTGTGCCATAATTGTTTGTTTTTATGTTAAATTCATAGAGAAGTCGAGTTTGTTGCAGTAGAAAGACCAGTTCAAGCATTCACTAATATTCTTTTCTCGTCAGGGACCACAGGTATATTAGGGATCAAAATTATCTTTTGTTTCATGCTCACTTATGTGACAAAAGACGTCAAAACTGCAAATTGAAATGTACTGATGCCATTATTTTCCAATCTAATCAATTTTATCTCCCATCCTGCATAAAATCAATATTGTAGATGCCAAAAGTATGTTATGGCCCTTACTTAAAACTCAACTCTCTTCATTTCAGCCATTTTATCCAAAGTAGGCCTTTGACAGCAAAGACCTTCTGCAATTTAATAGTTACGTTTTGATCTGTAAATAATGAACATTTGCTTAACCATAACATGTTAGGCAACAGTGTCAAAGTAAATTGATTATAAGAAACTACATGCTCAACTGATTGTGTTGTTCCCTAGGGGAACCAAAGGCAATACCATGGACTATCTTTACACCTTTCAAAGCTGCTGCTGATGGTTGGTGCCACATGGATATTCACAAAGGTGATGTAGTGGCCTGGCCTACTAATCTTGGATGGATGATGGGTCCTTGGCTTGTATATGCTTCATTGTTAAATGGAGCTTCCATGGCTCTCTATAATGGATCTCCACTTGGCTCTGGATTTGCAAAGTTTGTGCAGGTGAGACATTCTTTTGATTTTGGACCTTCCTTTTAACATTCCTTGTGCTTGCCATGGTATTAGCTAATTTACATTCTCCACAATGATATTAGTGATTCAGCAATCTTTTATGATCCTAGCAAATGTCCTGTGATTCTCATTTTTATATAATGTGTACAATTTAATAACAAAAGTATCATTGCCTAAGAAGCATCGACACGGACACAAGTGCCCGACACGTGATTTATTGAAAAAGTTCATTCACGATATGTCGCTGTCACGTGATTAAAATATTATTTTTTAACTTATTTTAATTTAATAGTCTAAAGTAATAATTTTTTATATTTATTGCATCATATATATAAGCAATTTTCATTTTTTAATAGAGGGTAAAATGGTAAAAAAATTAATTCACTTAAAATTTTACATGTTGCTTTGTTAAAGAATAAAGCTGGAAAAAAAAGTAAATTAAATATATGCTATAAAAAGAGATTTTACAAAATGCATTTAATGTTATTGGGGCCAACAATGTAAAGTACATTGGTTTACATCCTAAACTTTTCATTTCGAGTCAACACGTCATTTCACTTTCTTCTTTTCTTCATCTTCATAGGTTCTTTTCTTCTTCCTCGGTCACCATCTTCTTCACAGTTAGTCATCGTCTTCTTCACAGTCTGCATTTCTTCATCTCTGACATGTTGCAAGGAACTCTGACACGCGTCGGCGATGTGTCGGAGATGTACTGGTGTCCGATACGTGTCAGATGTCGATGCCGGTAGTGTGTCCGTGCTTCCCAGAACATTGCAAATTGAGCATAGTTGGGAAAAGGAGGGGGATATGTCCCTCTATACCACTAAGAACAAATGCAGATCAATGGGACCTTTTGTTCTTGTCTGTATTTATAATCATTCATGGAAATATGCATGCATTATATTAAATTGGCTAAGAGCTACATATGTGAAATGTTGTTGCATATTAGTTCACATTTATATAATAAAATAATGAGAGAAGCAATCTTTGATAAATGAGATTTTTGTTAAGTTTTAAACTAGTAACATTACATAGTTAGTACTACTTGATAATTTTGAATCGATAAAGAACCATGTTATATATCCCTTTCCCAATGTTAAGAGTATAGAAAGGTTGATTTGCAATGAACATTGAGCAAAAGACCTATTTAAGTTTGGTTTTAGCTTCTTACTTCATACTGATGCTAAATCCTACTGTTACCTTGTAGGATGCTAAAGTAATTTACTTCATACTGATGCTAAATCCTACTGTTACCTTGTAGGATGCTAAAGTAACAATGTTAGGCGTGATCCCAAGTATTGTGAGGGCATGGAAAAGTACAAATTCTACTGCTAGCTATGACTGGTCAGCCATCCGGTAGGTTCTGATAATACTTTTGAGAATGTTCATCATATATAATAGTCTTATTGTTACAACGAATGTGTGAGAGAGTATGTGTATTATTTTTCTTGTCAACCTTTTTGATTCAGTTTAATATTTTTCCTTTTTCTTGCTTTTGATTAATACATGAGACGAGACTTCCAAAAGTTCTTTCACTTGGTCTAAATATATTTATTGCCCTATGGTAGTTGCTTTGCGTCTACTGGTGAGGCTTCCAGTGTGGATGAATACCTATGGCTGATGAGCCGAGCTCAATATAAGCCCGTGATCGAGTATTGTGGAGGTACTGAAATTGGTGGCGGATTCATAACTGGTTCAATGTTGCAGCGTCAATCTCTAGCGGCTTTTAGCACACCAGCCATGGGTTGTAGTCTGTTTATTCTTGGTGAGGACGGACTTCCTATAGTAAGCACCAGCATACCTTTCAGCTGAAACTAATCATCAATTATACTTGTTCTCTCTTCACGATTGCATTTAATATTCTGTGTGTAAAATCAAGTCATATGTACGCAGTTTTAGCTAATATTTATTGAAAAATTGCAACAATTCTGAAGAGAACATATGATACTTTTCATCCGCATTATGATATCATCCTTATTATCGTTATTTCCAGCCACCGGATGTTCCTGGGATTGGTGAATTGGCCCTTGGTCCACTCATGTTTGGAGCTTCAAGCACACTATTAAATGCTGATCACTATGATATCTACTTTAAGAAAATGCCAGTATGGAATGGAAAGGTGCATAGTGCTTCTTCAACTTTCCATCAATCATGGGTTCAGGACTGACTCTCCTGTGCTCATGCTTAAATCTGACAGGTTCTTAGAAGGCATGGTGATATGTTTGAGCGTACTGCAAATGGATACTATCGTGCACATGGTCGTGCGGATGATACAATGAATCTTGGGGGTATTAAGGTCTGCCAATATCTTTAGAAATATAACGTTAAGAGATATTATTGTTGGAAGTAACATATTATATGGGGAAAATTGCACAATTTGTTGCCAACCTATCATTTCTATAGGAAGTTGGTCCCCAAGTTGCACAATCAGTCACCGATGACGGACGAGGTCCAGATCTCATTAAATCATCACGTGGTTCTTGTTTATCCAAGTTAGGTTTTGCTTCCAACTTGGACTCGTATCCAAAAATTTGAAAAGGGACATTTTTTCACGAGGCTATGCAACAATTTAATGAAGATTGGATATTTTCAAACGTTGGGGCTGATTGTGCAATAATAGTTACATTGAGTTCATATTGTATCGTTGATCCATGCTTTGAGCCTCGTAAATTAAAGTTAAATGGCCTTTTTAAAAGTTTCTTCGCTACGGTAAAACGTTAGTTGTTAATTTTCCAGGTGAGCTCGGTTGAGATTGAACGGATTTGTAATGCTGTTGATACTAATATCCTTGAGACAGCAGCAGTTGGGGTGCCACCTCCAAATGGAGGCCCCGAAAGGCTGATGATCGCTGTTGTGTTCAAGAATTCAGACGAGTTGCCAAATGATTTGAAAAATCTGGCTGCATCTTTCAATTCAGCACTGCAAAAGAAATTAAATCCTTTGTTCAAGGTTTGATTTATGAAGCTTGTTTTTTCATGATTATAATACAAGAATATGGTCTATTTGTTTCCTCATTATGGCTAAAACTTGCAGGTTTCTAATGTGATTCCCCTACCTTCCCTTCCAAGAACAGCCTCAAATAAAGTCATGAGAAGGATATTGAGGCAGCAGTTTTCTCAAAGGGAACAAAATTCTAAAATTTGATACAGAACTTGTATCGAGTTTTCGTCGCTTGCTTAATTTATTAAACGGTGTTTGTATCTTTGTCATCGTAAATAAATAAAATGTACATCTTTTTTCTGAATATATATGTTTTTATTTGCTTGACATCAAAATAAGTCAAAGCGTTACTGTAATTTTTATTTATTTATTATGATTATTACTTCAAGCTAAGTAATCATGTTATCACACTATATTTGTTTGCTTCATCGTGGGCATTAGAGCTGCAACGAACTAAGCTGATTTATTGCTATTATTAACTGCATCAAATGACATAGCACTGCACAATTTTGAGTTTCGAAAGTGTGTAAAAAGAAGTGTTCGAATTAATGTTATTTGATTTGGATGCGTTTTAGAAATGTTTTGAGGTTTTTTGAATTGTTTATTGACATGGCTAAGGTTACGGATAACTCCGAATTTTTCATTTGGATCCGTTTTAAAATTTTTGAGGTTTTTTGAATTGTATGACATAAATATGTGTCAGGAATAATTTTTGAAATTTCCATATTGAACCTTGGTATTTATTTTTAACTTAGATCTCATGGAAATTATTCATTTATTAAATAACCAAACATAATTTTTAAGTAAATTTTTAGAGCTTACCAAGCATGCAACTTGATGATTCAGTTTACGTGTGAACCATTCTTTGTTTGTATTTCTAATTTATGATTTGCAATCTTTCTACTTGGACAAATGTGTAATAAGAATTTCTTATTTATATTGCTTTTCAATAACAAATATTTTGGGTCGATGACTTGATATGATCGATAAGATGTTATAAAAATTTGTTATGAACATGCTCTACAAATACCTCAATAATTTCTTTGAAACTTAACAAAGACAAGTTGGTAGATTTCTTAAAAGTCGTGCTAATACCTAACATAAGCATCAACAACTGAATGTAGAATTTCATGCCGCTAAGCACATGAGGGTGGCGACTTGATATGATGCAAGTAGGTCAATAAGATGTTATAAAATCACACAAGGTCATAGGGACACAGTCATATATCACTTAATTTATGGACGACAATCATATATTAATCACACAATTAATATGTCATAAATGATTTATTAAACATAAATCATATAATTAACCGAGCACATTCAGTAATTTTATTATGTTAATGGTCACAATCACATATTAAGTAACATAGTTCACGCGAGTCCTCCTACTGTACATACTCTACATTTGCTGTCGCCAGTAAACTCTCCACCTCCATTAGTATATTCACCACCTCCGCCACTAGTAAACTCTCCCTGTCCGGTATATTTACCACCTCCTCTATCAGCATACTCTCCTCCACAAGTATACTTACCATCCCCTCCAAGCTATTCAATGCCTCCTCATTGTAGACAATTGCCGCCACAATGTATCATCATTGTTCACCACCAAGCACAAAGCTCAACCTATTCATAGACAATATCATTCGATGAGTATATCTGAGTAGAATACAGTAGATAAAAGTAAGGGAGATAGTGTGTGGATCTTTTGGGAAAAATAGATATAGATTCGTGACAGAGATATCACTAGTCTAGTTTCAATAATTCTAGTACTTTACCATTTGATGAAGGCGTCACAATTGTCATTGAATGTCGGATCGTGGAGATTCATCTCAACATTTGGGGTGGGCGTGTGGAGTGAGATGGGGGTGGTGGAGAAGGATGCAAAAGTAGGGGTGGGCATGAGTTGAGTTGAGTTGAGTTGTGTTGGGTTGGGTTGGGTCGGTTTTTGCCTCAACCCAAACCCACTCAACTCAACATGATCGGTTTGATCATAATTTAACTCAATCAAACCTTTGTAAAGGTTGAAACCCAGCCCAACCCAATCAAGTATCGGTCATGTTGGGTTGATCGGGTTGGGAGAACTTGTCAATAAAGACTAAAGTATACGGGTTGGGTTGGACGAATTCGTAATTGACTCATGATTTATATAATATTTGGTCTTTATAGTTGCAATAAACAAAAAAATATGAATTATTTTGCCATTTCATGCCCGAAAATGTTACACAGACAAATTGATATTAAATTATATAAAGTCAAGAAATATTTTTGGCAATTAAAATATTTTTGTGTTGAATGTGTATTTGCTTATACTGTTTTTCGTAAAATGCATTCTATTCAAATCTTATAATATTATTCTAAGAGTTTCCAACCAATATCATAACACTTGTAAAGTTCATAAATATAGGCGGGTTGGGTTGGACAGATTTATTCGATTTTTATGAGTTAACCCATAACCGACTCGACTCGACCCAACCCAACTCAACCCAACCCAACTTGCCTATACAATTAACTCACTCAACCCGTATAAAAACAACAAAAAAACCAACCCAAACTGTTCATGTTGGTTCGATTTGGACGATTTTGTTGGGTTCGGTTGGGTTTTGCCCACCCCTATGCAAAAGTATAGTTTGAAGTAATTTTCTTTAAATGAAATTTATGTGCTTGCGCAAGTAATCATATAATTAAACTTTTAGTTAAAACCTGTAATTCGATACACAAACGATGTAGAATGTTCAATCGAGAAATAGACATTAAACTCAGTCGATATTTTGAATAAATTCATATGGATAAAACTTTCGACTTATTTTTCAACGACCTCGTGATTTTCGTCTGCCAAACATAGGAGTAAAACTCTTGAATCTCTCTTTCGCTAGAAACCAAACAGCTTATGTGGACTTTTGAAAACTTTAAAGAACTTTTTTTAATTGATGACTTATGTAGATTTCATGAATTTTTTAGACATTTGTATGAAATTAGTGGGAGTTTTTTTGTAGACTTTTATAAACTTTATTTTAAAATTTTTATCAACTTTTGTAGAATTCAAAAGATTTTTAAAAAATTTCATTCGAGATGAATGTTGGTCCCAGAGTTCACAAAGAACACAGAAACAGAACAATAGTACGAGAAATAAAGAATCAACACAAATGATTTTTCACCCAAAAGGGTCCGGATGTTCAGCCAAAGGCCTACTCACCCGTTGAGCATCCACACAAAGGGATTTTGCTCTAGTTCCACTAAGATCACCAAGAACAGTTACAATGTATGAAGAAATCAGGTATTTCTTCAAAGTTTCTCTCGCCTCAAGAATCACTCAGAAATAATACACAATCTCATAGAATCTACATCAAGCGTAGCTACTGCCTTACCACTAAGAATTTACACAGAAAATCACTCAGACTTTCAAACGACA